AGCGTCAATTTCTGCGTTGCTCCTTTTGACGGTGCTCCACTATGCAAGATTGGCGACGATCGCTCGGTATTTGCTACGAAAGATCAAGCAAACCAGCTATCTCACAACCTATGCAGAGTCCTTCGGCACAAAATCGGCAATTGCCGAGGAAGTGTTTTCAGATGCGATGAAGGTGGATGGGTCGACATCGACGCAGTCATTGACGACCGAAACAACGACATATTCCCACCTTCAACCTCGAGAGCAAAACGATACATGGGCATCATGGAAGTGATCAAGTGGCAGGAGTCCGGACATAAGAAATCGAGATTTCAGGTCCTGGCAGCAAGGTTTCCAAGCGTCATGAACCCGAATGACATGAAGGCGGCCAGGGAGGAGATGAACTATGCTGGCCTGGATCGGGATGACATCGACAGGATGTTCAACAGATGCGATGGATGGTACAGGCCTTGGTGCATCCGAGTCACAACTGGTCACAGTGATTTTGGATTCATGAGCTCATCCGCACTGGCAAATAGGTATTCCGCAAGAATGGGTGATTCTCTCGGAGGAGCATTCCATGTGACGTATGTGGAGAACCTGCCAAGCATCGTACGCTGTGGGCTAGTCCCCGGCGGGATCGATGGCGGAAACAGGCTAGCACTGCACTTCGGAGCATTTGCTCCATGGGATGAGATGAACGTAGCAACGAAGGTGACGCTACGAAACGTAAGGACGGGGGATCCGATTGCGATCATCTACATTCCCAGTGCAACCCCCGCGCGGTATGGAGCTGGAGTCGCGGCAAATGGGACATTTATGGTCTTTGACGTGATCCCGTTCTATGAGGTCAAGTCCATTTGGATTGGCAAAAGCAACGGAGGGAAACGCCTGGAGTACGGGGACGTCAAGCGAGCGTACTCAAAATGTGTGGAAAAAGAGATCTGTCCGGGTTTCGTCAACTCCTCCCAGGAATCGGCTGCGATGTTCCTCCAGAACGTCGCGAAGATCAACGAGAGGATGCCTGAGACCGAGGCAGGTGCCGACAATCTGCACTACATCAAAGACATGGTTGATCGTGCATGCGAACTGTTTCGGGAAAACAAGTTGGAGGAGTTTGATGCGCAGACCAACGAGGTCAGGGACGAGATCAGCAAAGTCGTCATCCTGAATGACGAGACATGGGAAGGACTGAGGTGCCGGATATGTCCGTCATGTGCGACCGCGATTCCCACATGCTTCTGTGTGTGCCTGGAATGTGGAGCGCAATTGATCTCTACCGGGAGATTCTACATCCACATCAGTTCCGACGACGATGAGGACAACCAAAGGCCCAATGTCTCGGGTGATGCCAGGCGCGCACAAGACGAAGCCAACCTTGATGCGGCAGCACAGGAAGAGGATGATGAGGCGGAGGACGTTCCTGAAGAAGACGACATGGACACGCAAGGATACACGTCCGGCTACATGTCTGAGGAGGAAGATGGCGGTTGGCAATACCGCGACAATGACTTGGCATCACGGGATATCATAAATACCCAGCGGATGGCGATTTGCCTTGATGAGCCGCGCGAAGCTCAATACATGGCGGGATTCATCGCACTGCAGATGTCAAAGATGTGGGGGATGTTCGAAGGTGGTGAAAAGAGAACGATCGATGCCGCGCTCGAAGGGAAGCCAGGCTGCCCATACCACAACGACTTCATGAAGTACCCCAACATGACTGAGCACGATCAGGAAGGGATCCTTTTGCCATCAACGGTACTGAAGATTTCTCAATCTCAGAATGTTCGAACAAGGGTCTTCCGGTCGGCTGAGGAGCGTAATGAATACATTCGTCTGATGGTATACAAGTGCGAGGGGCTATACATATTCTACAAGCTGTGGATTGCAGCGAGAATCCTCGACGTCACCAAGGACGAAATGAAGCTCCTGGTCAAGGATCGCGTGCACCCGGTGGGTGATATTATTTACAGATGCTTTTCCCTGGCTTTCAACTGTAAGTATATATCGTTCGTGAGGGATGGCTTGAACCTTGGCAAATATGGTTATTCGGTAAATGTGAGCGCCATTATTGCGGCCACTGACCCGAATAAATGCGACACACCTCTGCTGGATTGGTGCCTTCGAATGGGGCATTGGATACCAGAAGATCATCACAAGAAGTGTGTCCGGGCACAAGAAGCCCAAAAGAATTTGGACGAAGAGTTCCGTCGACGCACCCACAGACTGTCCATTGGAGACAGGTATGCGTAATGCAGATGTTGATTGCGGCACGATGTGGGCTAGTCCCCGTCTGTTGCTTGCGTCTCATCAATGTTATTGCGATGGAACGACTCCACATCATGATATGATTTCATGCGTCCAAGATGAATGGATGTGTATACATTTACATATTCCGACGGCTATGACATTCCGGATATTCATGGATGGAACTATTACCTCATGGATGATTTCCTTTTCATTATATATTATTCATGGTACCTGGAATGGCTATGTTTTGCATTGATTGCTCACCGATATTTCTTTGCCGGTGATATGCAGATTGCTTACGAGCAGGCGCTTCTGTTGAACTTCTATGGCCACCCCATTTCTGTGGATGACGGCTGCGCGATGCGCAAATGCGGCAGCTGGGATGTTCAATGGTTGTAAAATGACGTGACGATAGTGTATACATTACACCTGCATATGGGACTGTGCTACGATTTGCGGATGCATGTTTCATTTTCAATCGAACCCGGCAGGTTTCACAATGAATGAACGGTGTAGCGATAGCGAGTGAAAGAGTGTTCGACACAGTTTCGTAGCTGAAGCCGTGGCCAGTGGAACGTGTTGTGGTGTTTGGACCGCATGATGAACAATGCGACCCAAATGGGGGATGTTAAAACCCTCCTGGCCCCGTGCCTAAATTGGGAAGCAGTTCTGAGGTCCGTGTTTGTGTTGCTGACAGGGTTCCATTGATTGCCATTTGGCTCAAGTCACAAGTGAGGTTCAAGATCTTATGTGAAGCTGCGTTCATACGTGATCGGCAATTGAGAGCGGAAAACACTTCGCTTGCGCTGCATTTGTCAGGACCACTGTTGTAACTATCATTCCTTCTCCCTTACAACGTTTACACGGGTTCGGCTATAACGGCATCGTCCGTATACACCTTTCTACGTGGTTGGTAATACAGCTTGAGGGTTCGGTGCATAGCGTCCCACGGGACGTCACC